CCCAGGTGGCTCCATAGGAGAAGGTGAGGTTGGTAACTTTGTACAGCCCTCCCTCACTTAAATCCAATTCACTTGCAAGGTATGACATCACCTTCTTGATGTCATGGTCCTCTTCCAGAACAAAGGACAAACAACCTCAGACTTCTACTTGCATACTTCATTATGTGAGATAGTTTTCATCTTCTTTTCCTTCCATAGTGTCTTCCTCTTCTCGCTTTCCATTCTTAATATCATAAAGACATACTGGAACCACTCTCAATTTTATGTTTAGACTTTCTGACTCCTTTTGTGAGGAGGTTCAAATAGGATATGCATGTAACTTTCATTCATTTTTATGTTTCTCTTGACTTCTGTTTCTCTACATCAAAGTTTTTTTTGTAATTCTGGTATTTTCATCAGGAATGATCAAAAATCCTCTAGTCCATTAAAGGTCTAAGTTTTCCTCCTGTACTGTTTGCCAAGCAAATTATTCTTGGTTATAATTCTGTCCTTTGCCTTCTGGAATATCGTATTCCAAACTTTCAGCTCCCTTTATAGTGGTAGCTGCTAAATCATATGTGTTTCTGGACACTTGTTCTTTGACCTGGAAGTTCTGGATGTTGAATAAAATTTTCTTGACAGTTTTAATTTTGGAGTTTCATTCAGGAAATGACTGGTTGATACTATTTCTTCTTCTCTAATTCTAAGAGATATAGGTGGTTTTCAGTTTCTTGAAATATGATGTCTGGGGTATTATGTTTTGTTTTGTTTTGTTTTTAAATAATGCCTTTCAGGTAGTCCAGTGATCCTTAAACAGTCTCTCCTTGATTTGTTTCCAGGTCACTTATTTTTGTTATGAGATACTTTAATTTTTTTTTTAATTTTTCAGCCTTTTCACTCTTTTTTCATATTTATTTTTCTCTCATGAAGCCATTAGCTTCTGTTTGGTCTATTCTAATTCTCAAGGAGTTTGTTGCTTGGTAAGGTTTCGAAAGTACCTCCTGTGCCAAGCTGTTAATTTTCTTTCGTAACTCATTTTCTTTTCTAACTTTTTCCTTGAGCATTCTCATTTAATTTATAAAAATAGTTTTAAGCTCTTTGATGGAAAACTCTTTCTTTACCTCTTCCAGGAATTCTAGTTGAATTTGTGCTTAAGCTGTATATTTCTTTGAGGCATTGCTTTTAGATGTTTCACAGTCATTCTGGGTTTGTCTTGAGCATCTCGATTGCCATAGTGGCTTTTAATAGTGTTTTTTTTTCTTGTTTGCTCATATTTCTATTGTACTTCCTTCCTGACTTTGGATTTTATGTTAGAGGTAGCCTTCTCATACTTGTAAGAAAATGTCTGGACTGATTTTGCTGCTGCTTTCTTGCGGATATTGAGTGTTGTGTAATTCCAGGATCTTAGGTACAGCTCAGACTGGGAATCTACAAGCTTTCAGTGTTCTCAAATGATATGATGCAGAGAAAGTCTAATCACTGCTGTTATTGGTCTGAGCTCTAGTTCCTGACCTGGGTTTGGGTCTGAGCAGCACTCCTGTGGATTTGTTTGTGGTTAGAAGTTCTAGCAGACTGTTGCTGGACCTGCCATGGTCACCCAACTAGAAAATTCTGCAGTTTAAAAGTTAATGGAACTATAGGCCCCTCTTTGGTCTGAGATTCCAGTCCTGCTTTTTATACTGTAGGCTTTTGACTAGTCTACAGCTAGAGCTGAGACCCTCTTTCACTCTTTTTCTTCTTCTTCTGTTTTTTTTTTTTTTTGGCTAGGCAATAGGGTTAAGTGACTTGCCCAGGGTCACACAGCTAGTAAGTGTTATGTGTCTGAGGCCAGATTTATACTCAGGTCCTCCTGAATCCAGGGCTAATGCTCTATCTACTGTGCCACCTAGCTGCCCCCCTGTTTCACTCTTAGGGCCAGAGCCTCTCTGCTGCTGCCTGCTTCTAAACTTGTTCCTCAATCAGTACACATTCTAAGGCTAGCAACTAGTACTATCCCTAAGCAATAGAACTATCATTTGGCACCTGTTTTGCACTCTGTGTGAGGTTAAGGTGCCTGCCCTAGTTTGGGTTTAAGACCTCTTCTTGCCCTTGGGCTCAGCCTGGGTCCTCTTTTAGTCTCTGGGAACTGCAAAGCTCCCTGTGTGCTCCTGGCCAGACCCTGTCCCCAATATCCATAGACTTATGTCTTTCTCCCAGTGCCAACTTTGGCTGGAAAAATCACTGTGACATTTTCTTGATACAGATTTGGTGTGGTGCATTCCTCTATTATACTGCTATTTTGGCTCTACATATAGGAGTGCCAATGTTATTTAAGGGTTCTAGTTTTATCTCTGATGCTTAATGAATGAATGGTTGTATGCCTTTGAACAAGTCACTTAATGTATCTCAATGAACCAGGCAACTTTCCAAAACTATCTCACTGCATTTGTAGATTTTCTTTGGTAGAGGGAGTTTACTATACCAGTGAAATCACAGGTTTGGACCAGAAAAAAAAATTTTTTTTTGCTCTTATACCACGATCACCCAATGAATTAAGTAAGTTTCCTTAATAGAATCATAGATTTAGACCGTGGAACCACAGTGTAATCCTGTTTTCTCCACCTCTCTTTCATGGTAAATCATCAAAGTAAAGCATAACAATCTCTTGTCTGTTTAAAGTATGAAGCTTATTTTATTATTTAGGGTGTGAACAATTTGGGAATGGGGGTGGAGATATTTACAATATGTAGGTAAACAAATTACGAGCATTTTTGTTATAGCTATTGTTGCTACTGTTTTTCTTTCCTTAATCTGAAGGTCTGTTCCATAAGTAACTCTTCTGCCAGTACCCTTTTTAGTCCCTGTTTTCTTGGGTTCTTTACATTACTATCCCTCTTCTACTAGTCATGTCTCATTCGCATTTCTTTGCTCTTTAATTTCCTGTTGCCAGTCTTTCTTCCTAGTTGTATAACCCTACTTCATTGGAAAATTTTATTTCTCTTCCCTCGCCTCCACCCCACTTACACCGAGTAGTATAAAGTGACTTTTATTCGACAGAAGAAAGGAGTTAGAATTACAGTATGTCCAAATGGTGACCATTGCTCTTGAAATTGCTTCTCTAATCACAGGTTTTATATTTATGTGAGACCACCTTTATCATCCTTCTGTAGTAGCTTACTCTTGGCCATTTGGAGCAGAACAACTGGAAATATTTACTTACGGTTATAATTTAATGCTGATCCTAACCATATTCAATTCCTTACCACCTGGGAAACAATTTTAGGTACAGATTGGTATTTGGAAAGACTGGAAATGTCAAATAGCTAGCCTTTACTTTGTAGTTATCTATAGTGGAAGATTTCAGGAAAGAGCTTTTCCTCAATTTTGTGTATACTTAATTCTTCATCATTAAAAACATTTTCTTGGGTACTTACCTTATACTGTCATACAAGAGGTTGTGAAGGACTATGAAAGAAGTAAATGACAAAACTGTTCTTAAATTACTTACAGTATAATTGAATATTAAAATTTAGATGAGAAGTTTCCCTATGGCAATCAGATATGAAGGATTATGCTTTCTGGGTGCTGTGATGTTGATGTGGTAACGTTTGGTTATAAGAAGAGGGTTGGATAGTAGGGATTAAAAGCATTGTTACTTTGATGTAGCCTTGTACATGTTTAGATCTTTGACAGGTTTCAGGCACAACCCGTGATGATCCCAAGGTTCTTTTCTAGGCTCCCTTCTCTTCTAAGTCCGTACTTTCTTGTTAACCTCATCAGTTCATATCAGTTTAACTATATAGATAATTCCCAAAGTTGCATATGCAGTCCCAGTCTCTCCCTCTACCCTAGCCCATCCCCTCAACTTCAGTGCCATACCTTGCATTGACTATTAGATATTTCAAATTGGATATCCTTGAGACCTTTTAAACTCAAAATGTCTAAAACAGAACCCATCTTTTCCCCTAAGCCCTACTCTCAACTCAAACTTTGTGATTTCTGTCAGAGGCACCTTCCCTTGTCTCAGGTTTGTAATCCTAGCATTGTCATTTACTTAGTTTCCTACCCTCCCTCTCTCCTCATATCCAGTCAGTTGATGAATCTTGCCCTTTCTTCCTTACGGCATGTATTCAGTTTAACCACTCATACCTACCCCCTTACTTCAGGCTCTTATCAACTTTTGCACCGATTATTGCAACACTTATAAACTTATCTCTCTGCCTCTAGTCTCTTACCTTTCTAATCCTGTCAGAGTGATTTTTCTTAAGCACAGATCTGACCATGTGACTTCCCTGCTCAGCCAGCTATAGTGCTTCCTGTTGCCTCTAGAATAAAATATAAACTCTTTTGTTTAGCTTTTAAAGCCCTAGACAACCTGGCCCAAGTCTACCTTTCCAGCTTCATCAGATACTACTTTCCCTTCCCTACTCTTTAGTTTAGCTAAACTGGCTTTCTCTTTGTTCCTCATTCATCACACTCTGTCTCCTGCCCTCTGCCTTTTCCTCATGCCTGGAATGTATTTTTTCCTTACTTTAGCCCCATGGAGAACCTTGCTTCCTTTAAGATGTATTTGAGACATCATCTTCTACATGAAACTTTTCTGATCCTTCCAACTGCTAGTGCTTTCCTTCACAAACTACCTTGTATTTCATGATTTTGGGTGGGTGGGGGTGTCCACATACACGCGCGCAAAAGTATATGTTACCTATATGTGTTTTTGTATATACATGTGTTTGTGTCTGTATGTATAAGCCATATATACTTACACACATGCATATGTGTGTTTGTATGAATTAATAAATGTTTGTTATCTCCTTGATTAGAATGTAAGTTCATTGCCTTTAAGGTTTGTTTCATTCTTTGTACTTGTATGGAAATTTCCTTGTACAGTACCTGGTGCATACTTGTTGATTGATTGATACTATTTATAATTGAGATGGATGTTAAATAGGACATGACTATCTTGACCACAAAATTTTCAAGGCCTTTTCTTTTGATTTTAATCAGATCCTAATAACTGATATTCTCTGTTTTTGTTCTAGATGGGAATGACTGGTAACACAAGTCCATTTGGTCAACCATTCAGTCAAACTGGAGGGCAACAAATGGGAGCTGCTGGAGTGAACCCTCAATTACCAAGCAAACCAGGCATGGTGAACAGTTTGCCACCCTTTCCTGCTGACATCAAAAATACTCCAGTTACCAATGTGCCAAATATGGTGAGTTTTTATTAGCTCTTACTATTTTGGTTCTTTAGAGATTCTTCATAGTTTATTTTTTTTAATGAGAAATTATTTTATTCTGAATTGCTATAAGAAAATCTGTTTATTATGGGATTAGCCTTATCTTTTTGCAATAATGAAATTTGAAGAGGGACAGCAAGAAAAGTTACTGGTGATCCCCTGGCTGGACAATCCAGGTAACTGCTTGAAGTTCTTTGCCAGTCTAAAATGTGAGAGAAACAAGGGTGGCCAGACTGTTTTTCCTGTGTTCTTATTGGTACTTTATTTCTGTGAAGAAAGTTAATGTCTTTTAAAATATTTTCTAATCTTCAGCATCTTGCTCAGTAATCAGAACGCTGAGATGTGATGTACAAAAGTCTCTCTTGTAACACTTCTGTTATTACCAATTGATTATGAATGCGTGTTGAAAGTCCACTGACCTGAAACAGGCGCAAACACATACACATAGAAGTTGTCTTAACAGGATTATAAATTTCAGCTGTTTAACCTGATTTTCTTTGATTTTAGTTAATTTTTCCATCTTTAAACAAGAACAATCCCTGTGTTGTACTTTTTAAACTCAATGGCTTAGAAACAGTCCACCAATTCGAAATATTATCTTTCTAAAAAGAATTAAACCTCTGAATTGGACTGTAGGGTATATAGTCTGCAGTAGTTAGACCTATTGGGTATCTTGATTACATGGGAACTTTGAAATTTCAAGATGTTTAAGGTGTAGCCAGCTTTTATTCATACCTTTTGTTGAGTCATACAAGTACTGTATAATTCTAATCAACTTATACTTTCTTTATAGTTGTCAAATTCCTACTGATACTGCTTACCTAATCCTTATGGTCTCGAACTCCTGCTTTCTGAGGCATAAATGTCTTCCCCTCTGACCTCCTACTATAATACCCCTGCAACTCACCATTATCCATGTTTATAGCATGGGGTGTTATCCATGGTTCTTCACTTTCACTCAGCCCACGTAGCCAAAAAAGTTCACAAATATTGCCAATTCTTAGTAGTTTTCACCTGTACTTTTGCAGGTTCTAATTAGTCTCCCTGCCTCAAGTGTATTCCTTATCTAGTCCATTCTTCATATAGCTGCCAAAAGGATTTACCTGACCTGTAGATCTACTCATGTCACTCACGTATTCAGTAAAATCCCTGAATATTGACAAATAAGAGCTCTTGTTTGACTTTTAAAAAACCTTTCCTAACCTGAACCTAACCTATGTTTTCACCTTATTATATATTCCTCTCCCTTTTGTATTCTGTGGTCAATCCAGACTGATGATCTTGTTCCTCGCACACAACACTCTCATCGTTCCTCTCTGTGCCTTTTGTGCATGCTGTCGCCCTGCACTTAGACATTTTTCCTTCTCACTTCTGCCTCTTAGTATAATTTTTTTTTTGAGTCTTAGTTGAAACACTACCTTCTACCTGAAGCCTTTCCTGATACCCCTAGCTTCTGGTGGCCTCCTAAATTAAATTATCTTGCATTTGTTTTGTGTATACCTTTGTGTTTTTCCTCCCTCCCAGTACCCTAAAAATGTAAAGCTTTTTGAAGGCAGGGATTATTTTATTTTTGTATGTACAACTTCTAGTACATAATAGGCATTTAATAAATGCTTGCTTGTTGATTGGTTGACTACATCTGTAGCATAGCATCAGCAACTGTCTTACAAATCGCTTTAATAATTCATGTTCAGTTACATCCATAGCCCAGAAATAAATAATAGCTTCTCAAATTCTCAGGTTCTTAATTAGGAATATCTTTGTTACCATTATTTGGCTTTCCCACCTTTATGTTCTCTTCTATCAACATGCAGTGATGCTCCTGGTAGGCAAAGCTGTTTACATTCTTTCTACTCAGGTAACTTGTTCTTGATTCCAAGCTTTCACACAGCCCCTGGAATGGAAAGCCATTCCCTTGCTTCCATTCTATGTTATATTCCTTTCCTCTGAAACGTGAAAAGATTCACCAGGCAATCTCACATAATTCTTATGTCGTCTAGATGAAATTTAATTAAGACAAAGGTAAAGTCCTACATTTAGTTTTAAAAAATGAACGGGCTAAATACAGGGTATGTGAGATTGAGCTAGATAGCAACTACTATAGAAGGAACTTGGTAGTTTCAGTGTACCACAAGTTCAAAATCAGTGTGCAGACATTACAAGCAAACAAGTTAATTCAGTCTCAGGTTGAATTAATGAAAGCATTGTGTCCAGAAATAAAGGATCAGTAGTTATACTGAATTTGGCCCTGGTCAGACTACATCTTGAATTTAATGTTCACCTTTTAGGTGCTCAATTATAGGAAGGTGTAGTGAATCCAAAGGAAGGTACCAGGGAGTGAGGGAACTCAGTTGTGCCATATACGGATACTCATAGTAAACTAAAGTAGTAAGCTACAGATTTCTATTCTTAAAAGGAAGAAACTTGGGGATGTCTGCTAACTCTTCAGATCTTGAAAACAGTTACCTCATAGAAAAGAGATTAGACTGTTTTCACTTGGCTCCAGAAAGCAGAGCTAGGAGCAATGGGTGGAAGTTGCAGAAAGGTAGAAAGGAGCTCAGTATAAGAAAAATCTTCCTAATAAATAGAACTGTCCAGAAGCCAAAAGGTTTGCCTTGCAAGGCACTGAATGTGCCATCAACTGGAGATCTTCAAGCAGAATCTAGGTAACCCTTCTCAAGGATATTTCAGAATAAATTCCTGCTTCAGTTTGAGTTCAAGTAGATGACGTCTGAGTTTCCTTTCACTCTGTGATTCTGTGATCCTGTTAACCACACTATCAATAACTTTTTAAAATTTGGCTTCCTCGTAAAGTTTAATATAATTTTTTCCTGTTTCTCTTTGTATAGTCTAGGTGCCTTTATTACCGGAATGGTTTCTAATTTCCCATATAGTCTTTGCAGTCCCTAATTCAAATGTTGGGTAGACAATGACATTTAACATACATGCTAACTGAACATCTGTAGATTCACAATTTCTTTATTCTCTTTCTCACTCTTGCTTATATAGTGATTCATGTTCTAGAAGTACATTGAAATATGTTTCTTCCAAGCCTGTTATGTCATATATACCCTGATCATTTGTGTAACATTTGCCCTTTTAGATCTTACTACAGTACAGAATCAGAATCTAATTTTCCTTTTAAGGAGGAATTTCATATGTATTGGGACCTCTTGAGTAAGATCCTCAGTTTTTAATGGTCCATACCACAGGTTGCAAATGTAATATTGTGGTAATGTTCTATTGTATTTGTTTTTCCATATTTTTAGAAGCTACTGGTTTAATCATTTTTAAAATAATTCCAGTTTAATTTCTTGATTGGATATAGCAATTCACAATTCTACTATTAAACATTGATATGCTTGCTCCTCTTTCCACAATTCCTCTAGCACTGACTATTCCCTTCTTTTGTTCATCTTTATTAAATGGCAGGGTGTCAGGTGAAACTTTGGTTGTTTTGATTGGTATTTTTCTGTTATTAATAATTTAAAGCATCCTTTCACATGGTTGTTAATAGTTAGCAATTTTTCTTTGGAGAGCTCTGTTCATGTGCCTTTGGTCTTACAAATTTCTCTTGTTTGTCTGTTTGACCACCACTGGTTGTCTCTTGATACTCTACCACTATATTAGGACTAAGGAGAAGCCACAGATTTTGTGGAAACTACAGATCCCACTTTTTTCACCTCAAACATGGTAGCAGTTTCTTTAGAAACTATAATATTATTCCATCATCTGTAAATTCTGCTTCCGTGATTGGATTTAGAAACACATAGAAAGTTTTGGAAGTAATCATTAATCTGTAATAATTAGTTATGAAATATTTGATTCCTTGGTGTCAAAATATTGGAGACCCTTATAGCCTTACTTTGTCTGCTTAATGTTTAATTTAAAGCATTTGGGGCAGGTAGATAACTGTTCTTAAAGATATCTCTTAGGGAGGGTATATACTAAGCCTCCCTCAGATTTTAACTTTAGCATGAAAGCTCTTTCCTTTCTTTCTTTCTTTCTTTCTTTCTTTCTTTCTTTCTTTCTTTCTTTCTTTCTTTCTTTCTTTCTTTCTTTCTTTCTTTCTTTCTTTCTTTCTTTCTTTCTCTCTCTCTCTCTTCTCTCTCTCTCTCTCTCTCTTCTCTTCTTTCTTTCTTTCTTTCTTTCTTTCTTTCTTTCTTTCTTTCCTTCCTTCCTTCCTTCCTTCCTTCTTTCTTTCTTGGCTAAGCAATGGGGTTAAGTGACTTAGCATGAAAAATTCTTATAGTGAATCTATATCTTTTCTTGAAACCTTATTTTTTTTGTAGAGAGATAATAATTGGGCACCACACAAATCATTCAGAAAGCATTTGTTAAGCATCTGTTGTGGGTCAAGTACTGTGCACATTCTGTCAACATAATAACCTTGCCTGTATACATAATAAAACAACACTAAACCTAAAGTCAGAGCTCTTGGTTTCATATCTGGGCCTGGTGCTTGTTAACTGTGTGACCTTGGACAAATCATTTGTGTCCTCTTTTTTGGCATCAGTTTTCTCCTCTAAAATGAAAAGATTAGACCAAAGCAACATCAAGATAGATCCTTTTTAAATGTCAAATTCTTGTAATTTGCTGTTTAATAATAATTGTACTATAATATCCATTGATTGAGAAATATAGCCAAAAATATTTTGTGAATTCAGAAACACTTGTAAAGGAATGTATATTTTATTAGTCATAATAGCATCTGTATATACTTGAAAAACAGTGATACATCTGTGAAGCATGTAATTCAGTTTATGAAAGGTAGGTTTTCGTATTTATTGGATCACGCTGTATCTTTTGTTGGGCTAAAGAGATCCCCAGTTGACAAAAGTTGTTGTGTTTACTGATTCTGTGACTCCCTTGCAATAGCTATCTGGACTGTTGATCCAGCTTACTGGATTAAATAGATCAATTTCTAAGTTCTCTTCCATCTTGTCAAGCATTTTTTGTTTTGAGGTTCCTTAGGC